GACAGTCTATTCCTGTAGAGGTGTCCCTGGTGCCCTCCTGTTGCATCTGCGTTTGTGTTAAACCCAATGAAGCGTAAAGGAGTGACATTTTGAGAGCACAGCAGAACAGAACATCAAGTAGTGACATGATTATTTTCATTTCCTCCTTGTTGTGTTTATCAAAGTCAACTGGATGAGAGGAAGCTACTGTCCAGCATGTCCCTAAGACTACATGTGTGGGCGTTGGACCACTGTGTTTACATCTCATAAGGATTTAAGGAGTTGTTGCCACTTAGTCCTTTGACAACACTGGTGTGGATAATTTGGAAACGATAAGGAAAGCAATTACTTCTTTACATTATCATATGAATTCATTTTGTTGATTTATTGGACCGACTACAAAACAAAAATATGATGCTGGAGTGATCCAAGGTGTCTTTAAATCTAAATTGAGTTAGCTCGCGCTAAGTGACATCCCACAGAGAATTATAACCCTTTGTTGTTGTTTTTTAATTGGCCGCAACTCACATTCACTGTTGTCATCAACCATGTTTCCACTATGCACCAAATAGCAGGCAGACATAGTTAGCGACGAGCTAGCACAGTGGAACATTAAGCATCTAGAGCAAAGCTAAAGGAGAGTACATCATTGATTTATATATTTACAAAAGTATCTGCATGACCAAAGTTTTTGCTAATATTTTATTATAGCGAACATATGTTGAGGTTAAAGTAGTCCCACAGTGTTAAAAGAAATGAATGCTGCTTTAACAGAGGTATGGGTTATTTCCCTCCAACAGCTAAATGCATCTTCACCCACGTTTATACATCCATCTGTTTCCGAGCAGCTCCAGCAGGTTAAAGGTTATCATTATTTCATTACATTTCATTTAGCTGACGCTTGACCAATTACAGGGACATTCTCCCTGGAGTAACTAAGGACTAAGTGCCTTACTCAAGGGCACACTAGTGGTGGTGTTCTTGATGGGATTTGAACTCACAACCTTCTGATCTTCAGCCCACCTCACTATCCATTAGACCACCACTATCCCTAAAGGTGCAGACAGAACACCATAGATGTTCTTTTTTAAAAGCAGCACCGTCCCAGCTCTCCCTGGAAATGCTGTCAAGTCACTTTGTTGTGTTGCTCTAGAGTCAAATGCCAGACTGGCTCTCCCAGGAGAAAGGCTCGAGTCTGACCATCTAAAAAACAGCGGGGGCTCTTTGTTGGTGCAACAAGATCATTCAGATCGTTTCCGTGTACTGTAAATGACATTTAACATACAAATAATTAGACTGAAATGGGATCAGTAAGGTGTGTCTAAGATGTCTGTAATGTAATTTTAATGGACCAAACGGTGGTGTAGTTACCGCTAATGAGAGTCCCAAGCAAGGCTCATGTAGCTTTCATGCTGCAATGCGAGGCCATCAATTAGCAATGAGGGCGTAGACGGGTCTTTCATGGTCTTTCGGGGCTTTAAAAGAATTAGTCCGTTTGAACATTTACATCTTTGAGTAAGGGAAGGAGAGAGACAGACAAGAGGACGGAGTTCAGTTTGTAGGTTGCACCCTGCTGCTATCTGAGATAAAGTGTTCTTTGCCGAGGGCAGCTCTGTCTTTCAACTCAATGTACAGCCTGTGATAAATGATCTACTGTATCTCTTCTTACACCATAACTCGCATGCTTCTGAGAAAAACTGCCAGAGTAAAAAAAAAAAAGCCTCTTCAGCTGTTTCAAGTTTAAAATGAATGCAGAGATTCCTCGATCAGGGGGAACTATGAAAATAATTATATATTATATATTATTTCCAGAAAATGTTAAAATTTCACCAAGAAAAACTAAATATGGTAAACAAGTCATGTTTATGCCATTTTGGTCCAGGCTGTGTTTAATGATTGTCCACGCTGTATGTCCCCTACGTTCTCTCAGGGATGTGATTAGTCATATAGGAAGGGTAGAAAAAAAAAGGACTTTGACTGACAGACAAAAGGAGACACACAGACAGACAGGAGGGAGTGCAACAACGCAAGTTAGCGAGGCGAAGGTTAGCAAGAACAGAGGAGCTGCCATCAGAATGGATAACACAACAAGTAACAAGCAGCAACAACAGTGACAGCTACACCTTCCAGCTGCTGTCTTTCATATGCTAATGCTGGTATTACTGCCTGCCAATGCAACACAGAACACAAAGTGTGTGTTTTGTGTGTTTATTCCAAATGAAGCGCTCTGTGCCACGTGGTATTGATGATAAGAGTCATCTGGCAAGGCTTTGAAACGCAGGCGCATGTTCACATGTAATTCTGTGTAGAAAGCTTTCATCTTGACTTTGAAGTTTTTACATGAAAATGAAATGTTACACAGTATTGTACTGGGCACTTTGATGATGCCAGTTATAATATATTGTAACAGATGGCAACCAAGGAAATTGGCACTTTTTGAAAGGACAAGACTGGTGATGTTATATACTTTTCTTACTGGCAACAAATCCCACGAGAAGACAAGCCAAGAATTAGCTGATCCTACTAACACAAATTGTCTGTGGAGGCAAAACCGGTTGCTTACTTTGGACTTTAGGCATTTATTATTGTCCAAATCTGTTCAAATAATCCACAACCTCATTCTTTGAAATGAACATGGGTCATGAACTTTTGAGTCAATCCCACGTTCTCTGTCCAGCAGCTGTAAATCAACAGTCTGTTGTTATAGAAAATATTGATTATAGCTGCTTCAAAGATTTACTTCTTCAGCAGGAAACAATGGGCTAAGGGCTTAAACCCAGAGAAAGGCTGAGGAAGTCGTAAAATATTGAGAGAGGAAAAAGCACGTTGCTGCTTTTGCTCTTTTCATTCTTTGAAATGTATAAAAGCTATTTTTTCTCTATGAGGTTTTGCATGTGACAGCTGCCCCATGGTACATTGTCTACACTCATTAACAGCTCTGATTGAGCATATCAGGGCCATGTGGCAAACTCCTCATGCCTCTAAGGATTATCTCATAGTTTGGCAGCATTTGTCTCCATGTCAGTTGATTTGTTGAGCTGATTTCACTTTAGTGATTGGAAAAAATGTGTAACGAATGAACGTGATTAGATTAGTTAAATCTGCTCTATTAATATATCTATGTGGCTGTGTGTGTGTGTGTCCTAGCGTGTGCAACACAGCAGCCTCACCAAGGCGGTCATGTGATCTGTAAAGCTTCTCTCTGTGGGAATTGACTATCTATTCTGTGACAGAAATGCACCAAGGTCTCTGATTGGCACATGCTGAATCCCACTTTGTGTCACTGAGAGGCCACCAACCGGAGTGCGTGCATAGTGTGTGGGTGAAGTTCTATGTGCAAATGCCACATATCTCAAAGGAATTAGGTTGATTTTTGAGGGCTTCCAAGCAGCCCTGGGATCTTTCATGCATGTGTGTCTCTATTTGTTATCTTTCAGTCCACATGCTGAGTTCAACTCTGCTGCCAGAGAACGGTGCAGAAGACAAATCCCATGGCTAGGTTATCCCTGATTCACCAGTGTTACTTGAAGAGAGAGAGAGAAAGCAATGGAGAGATAGACAGAAAGACAGGAGGAGAGGTCTTTGGTGTATTGAAAAGATAACATTACAGGATCAAAGAATGAGAAATGAAAACACAGATTGTTAAAAAAAAAGAGAGGAAAAGTGGAGCGTGTTGAAGGCTCGAGAAGAGGGCCAGGAAGGAGAGGAGAGATCAGTAATCGGAACTCTTTGTCAGCGTAACAGATTAGCTCACTGGGTGAAAAGATATATGAGTGGCACTGGGCGTTCGCACACGCGCACACACACACACACACACACACACACACACACACACACACACACACACACACACACACACACACACACACACACACACACACACACACACACACACACACACACAATGGATCAATTACCCTGTCATCCATGTGTGCGACCATACATCATCACCCCGATTACATCACACACACACTAAATCTGGTACTTGCATGCAGACCAGTATATAGCATACGCACGCACAGCTAGAACTTCAACTGCACTTTCATTGGTTGTGTGTGTCTTGTGTTTAACGGGCACATTTTTCTAATGCCTGACTGTGGCCCTAATACCTATTACCACACTTTCTATTGGAGACAACACACACACACACACACACACACACACACACACACACACACACACACACACACACACACACACACACACACACACACACACACACACACACACACACACACACACACACACACACACACACACACACACACACAAAGAGCCAGTGGGGCTGCTTCCTCAATGAACTGCAGAGTGACAGAGTCTGGACAAAGTCATTTGTTGTGAGTAAACTTCTTTTGGCAGCTTAAGTCCTTTCAGGCGATGGAAGACTGAGACCACACACACACAGACACACAGGTCAGTTTTGTCTGGCATGGTGTCGATCACCCCTCTGCTACTGTTGGTCTAGTCTACTGGGAAATGCCCGTAGCTCAGATAAAGTGAGTTCAATTTAATTTGAACTTCACACAGCTGAGAGGGTGAGAAAGAGAGACGAGGGGGGAGGGAATGGGAGATCCAATATTGTTTTGTCCTTCCTGAAGTGACACAAACATTTTAGATTGTCCCCATGTCCAGCATCCAGCCCCCTGAGAGCCATTGCTGACGCATTTGGGGTTGTGTGACTGTATGTGTGTGTGTGTGTGTGTGTGTGTGTGTGTGTGTGTGTGTGTGTGTGTGTGTGTGTGTGTGTGTGTGTGTGTGTGTGTTTATACATTAGTTAATGCCTCTTCCTGTTTGGCTGCCACTCTATGCAAGAGAGAACACATATCACATATCCAACAGGTCTTGGCGCAGCCCATATGGTCTTCTTCACATTACTGTACACAGTATCATTTACATTTATTGCATGCTCCTCCTAAGTCAGCTGTTCCCTCCTCTGGCCGCTAGGGAGCGCTGCTCCACTTCACAGCTGACAGTGGATCAGCTCTCCATCTTCAGGAGGACACACCGGAGCGCACCAACAGTCTGCCTGACTCCCCGACCGCATCGCACCTCTGTCCCGACACACTCCACTACTTTCTCGTCGCTCGTAAAGAGGATAAAGAAGGGGCTTTCGGGGCAAACCAAAATCCTGATTCGGGAGGTTTAAATTGGATGTTTCCCTCCATGTTGGTATGGCTTAATAACTAAGTTTCCTGTGTCACGGCTGTGTGAACGAGCAGAAGAGGAGCGGAACTTTCAGGGGACCCTTTTCTTGCAACGGAGTAACTGCTGGTTTTAACCCGTGAGGTCACATCTTCCACCGGCTCCGTTTCTTTCCTGCCCGGCTGCGGGGGTGGATGGTATGGTGTAACTTTTCGGCTCCAGTCGAACCAGAGTGGCTGTTTAATGGTACCGGAGAGGGGATGCGAGTCTCTCCTCCGTCTCGGATAGCGGAGCGGCAATGAGGAGAGAGGATCACCTGCTGGGCTAAAAGAACAAGACCACACCGCACCAACAGGTATGGATCACTGCTTTTTACACCTGCACAGAAAGCCTGGTGCATCCCAAGGCTTTAATGCGCTTTCTGTCAACTGTATGAAAAGTGTGCGTGATCAAAAGTAAATTAACGGCACACCTGCCACGCTTGGATATTCATGTCTAACAGTCTACTGGTTATTTCGTCTTTGGAAAACCATTTACGCACAGGATGGATTACACTTCATCTGTTCCATTTAGGGAATGGACAAGGATCTGATTTTATGAGGGCATGAGAGTTATGGAAAAAGATTGCTCGTGGTAATATCCCATCAGCCTGCTCTGATGTGCTATCAGTTTTATTATCACTGTGGTGATTTTATAGCAAAGACAAATGATTGCGGTTGTTTCAGGTGTTGCACAGGCAGCTTAGGCTTGCCCCTTTTTCTTTCGCTCTATCTCTCTGAAACACACACACACACACACACACACACACACACACACACACACACACACACACACACACACACACACACAAACACACACAAACACGCACGCACGCACACCCACAGGGGTACGCAGGTCTTATGACTGTGCGTATATGGGCATATGGCGCCGGGTTCAGTGCACTATTTTATGCATAGCTGGTGTTTAGCGGGGGCAAACAGCTGCTCTCTTCCTGTTGGCTGATTCTAGAGCTGTGCTTTGTCCAGAGTTGCTAAATGATAAGTATGTTGTCGCTTTATTTCAAGGACAAAGAGCAGATAAGGAACCTCAACGTCTCCTTCACTAGTACTTGTCTCCCATTTCAATTGTTTTCCTCAACGATGATTTGTCTACTTCTTACATGCCAGCAACATACAGCTTTCACATATCAAACATGTGAAGTGGTGTGTGAAGCATGCAGGGAAACTCATCAACCTGAAAGCAGTGGTGGGCGTCCTCTGTGCAGCACCATGGATCAACTGATGTACTGTAGATGGTGATTCATAACATGACCTTTATTGGTGACAGTGGCCATATAGTGCATCAATTTGGAAGCAGGGTAGAGGCTGTGAGGTGTTGAACTTGTTGTAGTGGCTACTTTATGCTCTAGATATCATAACATACTACTAGGTGAAATTGGTGCATTTGTGTTTCCTGATCATATTATCTTCTAGCTGTTTCTGGCCTTTTAACGACCTTGCCCTGGTTTAATTTATACAAAGATGGTCATCCCCACTGTGAATATATTTTAGACATGCTCCATCTGTCTCTTACTCTTCCTCCATTTTCGTAAGTTTCTGCGAAGCTCATAAAGATGACGCAGATGAGGGAGTAACAAAATAAGAAGGAAAATAACTGTGAGGCATGATTGACAGGAGAGTAAAGAAACAGGGAGGTGGTGGGTAGAGGGGGTAAAATAGTAGGTTTTGGGGATTATAGAAAAAATAAATGAATACATTTAAAGAAACAAAAAAAGGAAAAGTCACTAATTACTTGCTCCTAAAATTTTTCTCAAATATGTTTAATATAGCCACAGGCACCAACATTTCCTTCAAGAAACGAGATAAAGGAAAGACAGAAATAAGGACAGTGCTGGAAGAATAGATATGACGTATATATTTTTTCTAAATGTATTATCATGTACGTTTTCTTTTGCTTTGTAAGAAAAAATAATGTAGTCATCGCAGTCTTCTTTCTGCGATAGGCTGCACACCTCATGTGTTATTACTTAAATATGAATTGCTAGGATGGCTGAATCACATTAACTCCTTCAAAACAAGGTCAATTATTTAACTGAAATAACACGAGATATGGAGAAGATGATGTGCTAAACAAGACAAGGTTGTGTTTGTGTGTGTACTTTTAGACATTGCGACTTAGATCTAGGACATTTTTCAAAAAGGGAGTTTGAGGGTTGGTTTGGGAGAGATTAAGTTTAGCTACGTCTTAAATTATGACCCATATTGTATCAAAGGGGATCCCCAAAGATATACAAATAAAAGGGATGTGTAAGTAACTCCACTTACTGTCAGAATGCAAATCTGTCTCAGTTAAATTGTGGTGACTCATCCCTGGTTCCTACAAGGATAACATTTAATTTGTTATATGTATGACTTGTAATGCCTTTATTAAATGTGATTAGTGGAAAGGTGACAGGAAATGAAGGAAAGAGAGATGCAACAAAGGTCATGGTGCACCTTAATCCCTATGCCACAGAGACGCCGCGGTGTACGTTTGCTTTTGGAAAATTAATGGCTGTACGGGAAGAGCAATGTAGGGGATAATACACTAATTTGCAAACTAGCAGAGTGATCAAATTACCCTTTGCCAAGTGTATTCCAATCGTAACTGTATAACATTTCACCATTTCACAAAATGTACCCTTGCCAAATTGGGCATGCCTGCAGGCCAGAGGACTTGTTCAAATTGAACCATTTTACCCTGCCTCCCTATGGCAACATGACCGAAAGCACACACAACGAGTCTTTCTGCAAAAATACGGCAAGCTTTCAACTCCTTTATGTCTCCCTGTGCGCACGCACGCACACACGCACGCACGCACGCACGCACGCACACACGCACACACACACACACACACACACACACACACACACACACACACACACACACACACACACACACACACACACACACACACACACACACACACACACACACACACACACACACACACCCTTTATCCTGCTCTTCTACAGAGCAGTTATAGAATGTAACTGTTATACTGTATTGATATATCATTTATATAAAGCAATCTTGACGCTGTACTGTTGTGTAAATATTGATAATAATATTATTCTGTTATATTGTATTTAATAATAATATTATTTTGTATTACTGCTTTGGCACAATTCAAATAAAAAGTATAGCATGCGTAAAATGTGATCTTATTTTCCAGTTCCTGTAGCTGTGCATGATGAGAATAGAAAAAGGTAGAATGAAAAATAAGACAAAATCCGACACAGTGAGGGAAAGAGAAAGAAAGAAAAGGGGGAAAAGGAAAGAAAGCTACAGGGTATAAATACAAATAAATAAAAAGCATGTGTCCTATAAAAGGTGTTCTGTATTGCATTGGATATCTCCAGTAGCTGGTGTGCCGAGGCCCAGAAGGGACGAGTAGCCACTCTAAATGTGTGTAACCCACATAAAGAAATTGTTTCTGGGAGATCGGGCCCCGTAAATTAATTCCTAGCCGCCAGCCCTGTTCTTATCCCACCTCCCAAAGGTGAGCTATAACATCCAAACACATATATTTTTTAGATTATTTTCCTCCACACACACACATACCCAGACTTTTCCACTAAACACACACACATCCAGACACCTTCCCTTCCGCACAGACACACATCTTTCAACCAAAACTAATTTTATCTGCAGCAGTTTTTGCTTAGGATTCACACAGGCATACACACACACACATATTTTTGTTTGTAGACAGTCTTTTTTAGTAGAAAACACACACACACACACACACACACACACACACACACACACACACACACACACACACACACACACACACACACACACACACACACACACACACACACACACACACACACACACACACACACACACACACACACACACACACACACACACACACACTTCGGCTCCCAAATGTCTTGTGTGGGACAGTAACGGTGACAGCTACAACAGCATCAGTACAGACTGGATCAGAGGGAAACAGCAGCAGATGCAGCTCTCACAGCTCCAGGATTACCTTAGCCTGAGCAAACTCCATTACTGCCTCTATTACCCAGGTATATACAGCCCAGGAAAAAGCACTTTGCAGAACCACTGTTTACCCAGCACCCCTGTGCCCCACACACTGTTTCCCTTGACTACAGAGCAAGGAAGGGGTGAAGACCAGAGGGAGGAGAGAAGGTGGATGAGAAAAAGCTTATCTTTAAGGGACTGTCTTGCTCGCAGACAGACCTGTGTGTAGAGGTTAATTAAATGGTCAGATGAGATAAATTAGAATTATTAATCAATCAGTTAGTTTATCCTCAAAAAATTAATTGCAAACATTTTCAAGACTCAAGAGAAATTCAACATAGAGAGTCTCTACTTAACCTCTCCATTTACGGTATGTATACAGCAGGGAGGACATTTTGTTTCTCTCAGATGTTGATCAATATTGCTACCTCTAACATTCAAGCTGCGCCAGACAAAACAAAAACATATTCCTTTTTCTTGCTCAAATATGAGGATGTGCTGCTTTACTATTTTGAATATCACTTATTGAACATATTTGTGCTTTATGCCATTTCTTAGACAGAGCAAGCCATTTTTAGATTTTTACAGACTTAAATCCAGAATAAAAATGATCTGTAGTTGCAGTCCTAAATAAATTGCTCTATGATATTCATGAAATAGAAAATGCCAAACTTCTGCGAGGTGCTGCATATTGTATTCATTTGTATTTAAGTGGCTGGACAACATAAAACATTTTAGGACATTGTGTTGAACTGTCCACATTTATAATGCAACCATGTGAAAATAAATTAGGTCACAGCATCTTAAATAAAGGTCATTCTGCTTTACGTCATAAATAAATTGAGTATCTTTTTGTTTTTTGTTTTAACAAACAAGGCTGTCGGTTATATAATTGAACGATTTGTGTTTAATTTATCTTTATATTTATCAAGTGCAAATGTAAATAACCTTACTATTAACAAAATTATATTATCCAACTTTTGCCAGTTACCATTTTGTAATAATCTGAATATGTTTGGGATTTTTTCACAGTTGGTAAAACATAAAAAGCTATTTGAAGACATTGGGTTTTACTCGTACTTGACCTTTTTTAGACTAATGAGGGTATGTGATAAGGTAATGGCAAGTGATGATGCTGTGTGTGTGTGTGTGTGTGTGTGTGTGTGTGTGTGTGTGTGTGTGTGTGTGTGTGTGTGTGTGTGTGTGTGTGTGTGTGTGTGTGTGTGTGTGTGTGTGTGTGTGTGTGTGTGTGTGTGTGTGTGCGTGCGTGCGTGCGTGTGTGTGTGTGTGTGTGTGTGTGTGTGTGTGTGTGTGTGTACA